AAAAAAAAAATACAAAAATATTTAGCTTTAAGAGGGTTAGGCCTACCCTAAAATTAAGGAACGCTCGACCTCGATACGTGATATCGAAATGGGCGAAATCGCCTCTTGATATCACTAACTCTCCTGACTCCTGACTCTGTTTCATGCTGTATGGTTTCCAGTTATATATGCATAATTATACATGTAAATGTGCATATAGTTATGCATATAGTGCAGTATTATGCATGGTCTTCTTCCTGCTTCTCTGAAAGCCATTGATTTAGTTAATGAATTAATCCTTTCATCAGTATCAGATACAGGTCCTGAGTAGATGCACTGCAGATACACCACATCTTGCCACAAAGAATGTGTCTAGTAAACTGCTGACATTCCATGTGAGAGCTCAGTATTCAAGGACTGGTCGTGCTTCTCGCAAGCCATCATTTCAATCCAACTTCCCTCTCCTCCATGATGTCATAATTGGTTGGTGTTGACAATTTTATGATGAACTTTTTTCTTTACAGTTACTTTGAATTTGACCTGGCTAAATCACTGTTAGTGATATTTAAGTTTTTTTTTTAAAGCAGGTATTGGTAGAAGAGTCTCTAATCTCACTTGTAAAAAAATGTGTCTGTAATTCTTAAAAAAAATTAAATGCCTAATACGTGGGGGAGAACTGAATTTTGAATTTAAAATGGGGTTCTCTTCAGAAAGCCATATCTCCCAAAACCAATCTGATTGATCTTGGCATGATTTCAGTGGTGAGAGCGTGTAAATTCAGTTTTTATGTTGAGATTTTGAAGTAAAGCATAACTTACTTCCATTACACTTCACAATTTTGAAACCTGAGTGTTTCTTGTCTTCTTAATTGATGGATGTTCAATTGAGACTCTTGGTTATTGAAAGTGAAGAATGTCACCCATGCCCCATACCAGTAAATTAGATGGGAAATCAGTGGTGGTGATGTTGCATTCCTTTGGCGGAAAACCCCTTATCTAAGTTTATCTCAGTAGGTAGAAATCATACTTCATATCCATTCCTACTAATGCTGTTTTGTGGTTTTGCTGTAATCCTTTAGTAGTTAGAGGATCCTCTTATCGATGTATGACTTTCCCTTCTCAGATTCAGTCCTTCAAATGAACAAGAACTTCAAGTCTGAGGACATCTTCAAAGCACTCTCAGATGAATTCAGATATGCCCCAGGGCACCCAGGTGGAGGGGGATGGCTCAAAGAGTGAGTAACATTTTCTCTATTTTCATGGTATAACATGAATCATTATGTGCATTCTTACCATGAGGATGCTGCAAGAATACCTAGAGGAATACTTATCTTTACGACTATTAATTCTCCGTAAGATGTCAGACGTTGTACTTTGTTAACTTTTTATACCTTACCGGGGAGTAAGGGAACAAAATAGAATTCTACTTACCACCGAAGTAGTTTGTCATTGACATCAATCACTTGTCATGTCGAAAGTGAACAGTTACCATGTGCTACTATGATTTTTGCAATTTGCTTCCTCAGAACTGTACAATTGTTGCTTTGAACCATGTGAATTGTTCTTTTTAACCTTTTCATGAGTAAGCTTTTCCCAGGGCATGATGGCAGCAGCCCATATATATCCAGTTTTACTCCTCAATGTGTTAAATATGAAAACTTAGCATCATCAACCTGATATGTCCATAATGTATCTAGAATCTAGAAGAATCTTAAATTGCTTTCTCTCATTCTCTTTGTACAGGAAGAAAGAGGAGAATCCAGATGCCATCCTTCTTTGTCCTCATCGCCCAATTCATCCTTTCTAAGCATAATACAGGGTGGGCCATTTAAAAGTAGCCCGCCTCCTATTATACTAAGACAATAAGAACGAGCAAGTGGATTGTTTTTCACCACCTTCGATCACCTCCGCCACGCTCGGACCAGAGGCGGGCTACTTTTAAGTGGCCCACCCTGTATATTCCTAATCATTATTAGCCTTTTCTAAAGAAGGGTTAAGGGCGGATTTTTGAACAGAGCACTATCTGATAATGCAGCTTTATTTACCGGATTAATAAAGCATTTTCCTAATATAAAGCTGCATTACCGGAGAGTGCTCTGTTCAATAATCCACCCAAAATTTGTTGTCATTTTGAAAAAAAAAAATTTTTTTTGAATTAGCCCCATATTGAACTTGTCCAATTTCACATATACATAACTCATGCCAATGGAACAGTAGTTAAAATCTTTTGTGAGTTCATGATTCATTGACTTTCTTCTGTAAATATTAGGGCCTTCAACACAATCATTTTTCCCCCCTGAATGTATTTTTTCACATATACATAACTCATGCCAATGGAACTGTAGTTTAAATCTTTTGTGAGTTTATGATTCATTGACTTTCTTCTGTAAATATTAGGGCCTTCAACACAATCATTTTTCCCCCCTGAATGTATTAAGTTGATAGCCTTGCAGTGTTTGACCAAGGCTAAACTGTGCCTTAATGTCATTAAAATATATGATATAACTGTCACCCTATGAATAATTTTTGCATCTGCCACTGCTTCAGTGTTCATTTGAGAGTTCATATAAGCGACATTCCAATGTTGGCTCAATGTTCAGATGAAGCACTATTCAAGCACTGGGAATGTGTAAAAGTAAAGTTCATGGAACACTGGTAGCATGCTATAGCACTGCCGGACGAACATTCATCCAGTGTTGAACGTCAACGTTTATCTGAGTATTACAATAAGCGACATCACAATAGTGACTTAATGTTAGCTGCAATACCTACCAAATGCTGGGAAGGTTCAAAGTTAACATTCATGCATACCAAAAGGCATATGACTCGGTGCCCCATTCATGGATCATCGAGTGCCTCAGGATGTACATCAACCCTGTGGTGGTCAACTTCCTCGAACAGACCATGCCTCGCTGGAAGACGGTCATGTCCCTCAAGGGACAGGACTCCACTCTGACAACACGCGAGATTTCCATCAAACGCGGGATCTTCCAGGGAGACACGCTATCTCCTC